GGCGGCGGCTCTGATTGCGCAGGACCAGAGGGACCCTGGGGTGATGGAGAAAAGGATGCTCCCCAGAGGGGTCCTTAATTCCTAAACCCCCCCCACCCAAGACGCTGCGTGACACATCCCCCTGGGATAACATTGCTTTCCTGGTTGGCACAGAGGCTTTTTTATAGGGTTTTTTTACCGAGAAATAGGTCCCAGTGCTACATTCCGCTGCCAGCATCAGATGCTGCTGCTGCTGCACAAGGTTTTATGCTAAACTCGTACCATTTCTATATTTCCCGGCACCAAGGGAGCTTATTTATCTTTTTTTTAATTTCCTTTTTCTTTTTTTTTTTTTTTCCTTTCCAAGACTGCAACCACTGATGCGTGTGAGTGGGACAGAAACAACAGAGTAATCGTATATAAGTCTTATGAGGAGAGGCTGAGGGAGCTGGGGGTGTTCAGCCTGGAGAAGAGGAGGCTGAGGGGAGACCTTCTTGCTCTCTACAACTACCTGAAAGGAGGGTGTAGAGAGGTGGGGGTCGGTCTCTTCTCCCAAGTCACAGGCGACAGGACAAGAGGAAATGGCCTCAAGTTGCACCAGGGGAGGTTCAGGCTGGATATTAGGAAAATTTTTTTCACTGAAAGGGTTATCAGGCATTGGAATGGGCTGCCCAGGGAGGTGGTTGAGGCACCATCCCTGGAGGTGTTCAAAAGACAGGTTGATGTAGTGCTGGGAGGTCTGGTTTAGTGATGATGCTCCTTGTTTGTTGTGTGGGTGGCTATTGTTGTCAGTTAGGTTGACAGTTGGACAAGATGATCTTTAAGGTCCCTTCCAACCTAGAAGATTCTGTGATAAGAGCTAGGAAAAACTAATCATCCCAGCCCTGGGGAAACTGGGAGGGTTGGTGGGATGGAGCTGCCCTAGATGCTGAAGGAAGCCTCCAGACCCAGGTAATTTATTAGCCCATTAAAGACTGGCATTACCGAGACAGCACAAAGACTGAGGCACTGTACTTTTGGGGAGAAATATTTTGCCTTTTTGAGCGTACCCATGAGGAGTGTGTCACCCTTAGCACTGCCCAAGAATAGCTGCAGAAAGAAGGTTATTTGTGTCTTTTCCACATTATCTTCAGCACAACCCATTTCCCTAAATCATCAGCAAGACCAGTTGTAAAAAAACATTACCTATAAGAAGCAATGTGGGAAGTGTTCCATTTCCCTAAATCATCAGCAGGACCAGTTGTAAAAAGCATTACCTATAAGAAGCAATGTGGGAAGTGTCTAGGAAAAACTAATCATCCCAGCCCTGGGGAAACTGGGAGGGTTGGTGGGATGGAGCTGCCCTAGATGCTGAAGGAAGCCTCCAGACCCAGGTAATTTATTAGCCCATTAAAGACTGGCATTACCGAGACAGCACAAAGACTGAGGCACTGTACTTTTGGGGAGAAATATTTTGCCTTTTTGAGCGTACCCATGAGGAGTGTGTCACCCTTAGCACTGCCCAAGAATAGCTGCAGAAAGAAGGTTATTTGTGTCTTTTCCACATTATCTTCAGCACAACCCATTTCCCTAAATCATCAGCAAGACCAGTTGTAAAAAAACATTACCTATAAGAAGCAATGTGGGAAGTGTAATCAGATTAATAGCACTAGATTAATAGCAATTTTTTCAGATCTTGAAGTCAAAACCAGATCTAGACTGGGCTGCCTTTCTGAAGAAAAGCAGCTTCTTACTTTGAAAGGGAAATAGATAGAAGAGTGCATGCATTTAAGCTTGCTCACACTTTCATACATTCCAGCTTTATCAGTGGATGTGTTCGCTCATTTCTCAGGTTTCTGCCATTCGACGGCTTGAAGAAATTGATAATAATTATCACTTTAGGAGTTATTAAAGGAAAATGTATTTCACAGTGAAAAGCCCGATTTAGTAGGACATTCGGGTTAAGCCAAATGTTTAAAAGAATAAGATTTCCAGAGTGATTTTGCTGCGCTGTGCTGTTTGTAGCTGTTTGCATTTTTTCCCACCTCATTTTCACTGTGGCCTACGCTCAGATTAATTAAAATCAGAGTGAACAAAAGGCTCCAACTCCCAGTAAATATTCATCTTAAAGTTAAGAAATGCAGAATAGAGCAAAGTAGCTTGTGCAATGAGCTGAGTTTGATCATCAGCAATATTCTCTCTATTTTTCCTCTGCTTCCAAATGGCTGCTGTGAAACCTTGTCAGATGAGGTAAAGCGTAAAACAGATGTTAAAAGGCTGTCTGATGGTGGATTCTTCTTTTGCCTAAATGAAGTGAGAGCAATAATTTTTGTAGTTGGTATTTCTCTTCTGAGAAATATAATGCAGGCTGTGTTAAAAAGTTAAAAAAAAAAAAAAAAGAAGGGGCTAGGTTCATTGTCTAAAGAAGAAAGGCAGAAACATCCTCCATCAGGTTCATAGTGACAAAGGATTAAGAGAACACATCAGGCTAGGTTCATTGTCTAAAGAAGAAAAGCAGAAACATCCTCCATCAGGTTAATAGTGACAAAGGATTAAGAGAACACATCAGCTTTCTCTGTTTGATAAGGCAAAAAAGGAGTTTCAACATCTACAGTAAAGGCAACAGAAAGAGGAGTGTCTTCAGCCCAATGATTCTTAATTATCTCAGGATTCTTTTTAGTACCTGCCCGTGAGGAGATGATGTCCTAGGGAGAAAGTGTGATTTACCCATTAGAGAGCAAACTGAAACAGAGGTGTTGAAAGGATAAGGAGAAAATAATGACTAACAGCTGTTGTTAGCTTTCTCTGTTTGATAAGGCAAAAAAGGGAGTTTTAACATCTACAGTAAAGGCAACAAAAGAAGGAGTGTCTTCAGCCAATGATTCTTAATTATCTCAGGATTCTTTTTAGTACCTGCCCGTGAGGAGATGATGTCCTAGGGAGAAAGTGTGATTTACCCATTAGAGAGCAAACTGAAACAGAGGTGTTGAAAGGATAAGGAGAAAATAATGACTAACAGCTGTTGTTCCTCTGCATATTTTCACACTGTATGTCCCTTCTTGACTCTATAGTTTAGCAATGCAGTCCTGCTTATCCAGAGAAATACAAATGTCTGTGTCTACAATAGTCACTTGTTATTATCAACCCCATAAAAAATGCTGACCTTGAAATATAGGATAGAAATCGTTAAATCTTTGTCGTGGGTGTCTTTTTTTTTCCATTTTTTTCATTTTTTTTCAGTTTGTGCACAGGGCAAGAGTAAGTCCACTAGTAAGTTACTATCTGAGCCATCTTTTAATCCTGAGCTGAAGGTTCTTCTTGACTGTGTGTAACAAGACTGCCTTTAGTAAACCAGGGCTTGGGAGTCAGGATCTAATACACTGTGCTGCAAATATTACAGTATATATGTTTTATTTACTCTCTTACGCAATAATAAAACCATCTAGGCATTCCATCAGCTTGCAGCTTCTTGACAATTTCTCTCAAGATCACAGATTTTTTTCTGGTTTTCTTGTATGACTTTCCAAGCAGGTCACAGCTGGCAATTTACAGGGTTCAGGTCTGATTTGCTACAAGTTTGATTTTTATGGGGATTTTTTTATAATTGCAGTTAAACAATTTCAAATGCAGTACAAATAATTCTCCTACATTCAGTCTGGATTTACCGCAGTAAAACTAAAAACTCGATTTTGTTTTTTCCGAATGTATACCAGGCAGTATTTATCCAGAAGGAAAGTAATTCACTTGGTTTGGTTGAAATTGATGAAAAGTGCTTTTGTGGCTTTCTGCAGTGTGACATCTTGAAATGTAATGTGCTGTGAATAGGGTACACAGAGGAGCAAACACAGAGGTCTGTGCGGATTTGAGTGTGCTACTATAAACAAAGAAGGTGTTCACAAATGGCTTAGAGCTAAATTTGACAAGACAGTGCTAATCACACTTGGACATGGGAATATCTGGACAGAGGACACTCAGCTGGCTTCATATGAGCCTCCCCGAAGGCAGTGAGTGGTGGCTCTCATTTATTAGTAAAGCAGGGATATTATATGAAATTTCTTGCATGAGTTTATATCGGGAGAGATTTGTCTTGATCTTTGTTTTAGTGAGAAAGGCAAGGTCAAACATGTGGAACTCTTCCTCTGCTTACTGAGACTCAACTGAGGAAACTGATTAACAGACAAAATTTGATCTTGAGTATTTTATAGCCTGGTTTCATCTTGATGCTTCCAATTTTGGCAATACTTTAGGACCAGGTTTCGGAAAGTAGGTGTATGGCAGGTATTTGCATACAGATACTGACTGTACGTGTATGTGTCACTTGTTTACATGTTTGTTCTATAAGCTCATAAATGGGTCATTTTTTTTGCCAGTAAATGCAAAGTTTGCGCATGAAATTTCTGTGCACAACTTTGGTAGATGCTCATCTGTGTGCAGTTATAATTACTTTACTGGAAATTAAATACTAAAAAAGACTGGAAATGAAATACTGGAAAAAAAAATAAATACTGCCTTGTTTTTCTTACAAGGCATCATAATTTTTTTTTTAATTTGCGGTGTGACATATATAGGGCATTTTTACTGCTATAATTTGAAAGTAAAGCATTGGTTTGTAAAGAACAA